GTCGGCATTCTTATGGGAACGAACTGTGCGCCTCTCCTTGCCGTCTTCTTCTTATTTTCATATGAGTCGGAGTTCTTTCAAACACTTGTCAAAAACAAGAATATAAAAGAAGCCAGATCATTTAATTTCACATTCAGATATATTGATCATGTTCTTTCCATTAACAATCCAAACTTTTCTGATTGGTTTCCATTCGTATATCCTCCAGAACTAGAAATTAAAGATACAACAGACACTGTTTCCTCTGTCTCATTTTAAGACTTATACCTCGAATTTGACACACGCGGTCATCTCAGTGCCAGAATCAATGACAAACGAGACGATTTTAATTTTGAAATTATCAATTTCCCCCACCTTAGTAGCAATATCCAACTTCACCTGCATATGGGATATACATTTCCCAACTTATTCAGTATTCAAGAGCTTGCAGCTGCTACTCACACTTTGTAAAACGTTACCAGTGCCTGAGCAGAAAGTTGATGAACCAAAGGTATGTCAAAGAACGTCTCGTCTTTTTCCTAAAAAGTTCATCGGAAGATACCCAGACCTTGTTGATAAATATTCCGTATCAACTTCACAATTAATACACGATGGTTTTGAAGTAAAGATTCTAGATACTGACGTTGTTTCTCATCTTAATAACGTGTTGTAGTATTCTTTTAGTTGTCTTTGTGAATATTACTTTTACTGTTTAGTCTATTTTGGTAATATCCATTTGACGTGGCTCGGTACTTATACATCCCGTCATTGTGTTATTGTGCTATGGTAAATTCTTCTCTTTCATTTTTGCTAATGTGCTATGTCTATATGCCTTTTTGTGTTTCTTTGTTGACATATTTATTTGTTTTTATTGTGATTAAGATTATACCACAATGTTGACTGCTATACCCCTATTTTGACATTTTTGCCTATTATGTCAGTTTGTTTTGTTCACACATCGTTGTCAATATAATGGAATTTTATGCGACTGTCATACAAGTGAAAGGGTTTAGCTAGCTATAAAACCAGGTTTAATTCACCATTGTCTACATGAGAAAATGCCTGTTCCAAGTCAGGAATATGATAGTTGTTTTCAGTTCGTTTGATGTGTTTGAGCTTTATATTTTGCCACTTGATTCGGAACTTTCCGTTTTGAATTTTCCTTGGAGTTTGGTATTTTTGTTATTTTACTTTTCACTACATATGTAAGATACAACAGTTAAAATTCGTCCTTTTGTATACAATTTAGTATGATTTACTTGACTATGTCGATTAAATATTTAAATCAGATAATTAACGATTCAACCTTTTTACTATGCGTAAAAACTATTTTTTGTGCTACTTCTAAGTTTAAAGATGTTTTATAGCAAACAGTTAAAAATCACCCATTTTGCTTAACTAGTTAACAGTAAAATTTATGTCTTTATAACAACTTGAATATACTAACAGGGCTTAACATATCTGTTCTGCGTTATTAGTTGTGTATCAGAACATTACATTATTGTCTACAATTACGGTATTTCTTAAATTTCAGTTTGATAGAAAAAAAAAATATTGAAATATGATTTTTTGGTAAATTTGACTGAGGCATATCGTGTATGATAAAAAAAAAATTGTGCATGATGTATGGAGTTATGGTGTATTGTGTGTTGATGTTTGATATGATGGTGTATAGTTTTAGCGAAAAGTTAATACTATAAAAAGACAGTTAATATTTAAAGTATGAATCATTTATAACCTCTCTTACAATCTGTCTTGAACTGTCAGGAGAACCTTTCTAGAACTAACTGTACAACAGTTCTCCTGGCATCGGAAGACTAGTGTCTAACAGAAGCGTTTCTACCCTCGAAGAATGTTCGGCAGTTCAAATTTTATATGTCTTAATATCGCCATGTTGTATAAATTTACTGTATAAATTAGTTTTCTACTCAAGGTAAATAAAGGCAATAGTAGTATACCGCTGTTCAATAGTCATAAATCGATTTAACTGAAACAAATCCGGGTCATAAACCAAAACTGAGGGGATAAAATCAATTATAAGAGGAAAACAACGAAACAACAGAAACACTAATCTGCTACAAAAACAAACGCCAACATACATAGAAACGGACTACTTGATAAGAACTGCTATATTCCTGACTTGGTACAGGATATTTTAAGAAAAAATGGTGGGTTGAACCTGTGTTATGGCAAGCCAAACCTCCCGCTTATTTGTCAATGTTAAAAATACCGCTAAAATGACAACATTACGTGACAGGAATGCATTACAAATAAATGCAAGAACACTCAGGACAGCGAAATACACAAATAAACAACATAATAGTTCATTTCAACATTTAAACCACAGAATGACTACGAACACCTAAAATGATTTTTTAGTATTAATTTACGACAGTACACAAGTACATCACAATAGAATTATGAATTGTGCGTCACACGAATGTATCAACGCCACAAAAGTGACGTCACAGGTAAATTTCTAAAAATTGAAAATAAAATTCGGATTGAGTGTGTAATGGTGTTTTTTTATGTATTTTCTAACCATTACAATAATATTAATATAGAATTGTGTTAGTAATGAGGTAATTATTTTTATTTTCTAACCATGTCGGCTTTTCCTCTAAATCAAACTGTGTTAAAACAAATAAATCCTGTGCATATAGTTGCTCCAAACAAATAATTATATCATGAACTAGCTGATTAATTATCTTTACTTTTACAAACATATCGAAAATAAAAATAGAATTAAAACCACAAACAATAAGACATAACACAATATCGATCAAGAATTACAAATGAAACATCATAACTAAATACATGAATGTTGGATGTACGAGACACGTCTAATAGCAATGCGAATTCACAATAGGCAAAACAGTCATATTCGGGAATAGTTCACGTTCGCTACTTAGCAGACCATACGACGTAGATGGTAAGCCACAATCTAAGACGTGATAAAAATGTCGTTAGATCAACCAATTCGTGATGGTGACCATAAAATTTACGGAGCGTCATTTTTAATCTTTCCCTCCTCATAACTCTGATGGAGCAGTTTCTGCGTTAGGAACACACTCCTGTATACAAAGTCCGTATAGTGTAACAATGCACGAGCATAACGTAACAACTGAGATGTGTAAACACCATACGATAAAATTTGCCTCATCCGTATATGGCATAACTTTTCTGAAATTTATGTTATCAATGGTATTCAACTTCGTTTGATTAGGCTTTGTACTATTGGTGAGTCTTGTGTAGACGAAACGATCATCTGGCGTTACAAATTATAAACCTGCTATCTTGAATCGGTTTGTTTTACAGTTTTTTTTTTTCGTAGATTCTGACAGTTCTACCCTAGAACGGTTCTGAACAGTTCCATCTTATAACAGTTATTGACAGTTCTACCCTCGAACGTTGTTAAATAGTTCTTCCATAGATTTAGTCTCACTGTTCTTTCTAAAAACTAATTCAGACAGTTCTTCCCCTAAACTCATGCTATCCTTTGACAGATCGTAACAGTTATATTTCTAGGACAGTTATGGACAGTTTATCTATTATATCAATATTTATTTGATTGATTTATTTCATTTGATAAATCTTATTAACTTCAACTTAATTTGTTATAATTTCTTCAACTGTCTACTAATATTGATTTGTTTATTTTTTTAATTGGTTTCTTTTCCCCTCTTTTTTTAATTTTTTGGACAAACTAGGTCAGTCTTATTTGTTGCGGTGCAATCATTCGTGTTAAACAACCTTCCTGCGATATCCACACTGATGATTGACACTGTTCAGTCCGGTGAATAAGATGAATAAACTGTTAACACAGAGATATGTCTCGCCTTTTTTGTTACTTTCATAGTAAAATGCAAATGTTAAAATTGAAATAGCATCATTTAAACATGTAAGTTATGCAAATATTCAAAGTCAATAGACTATGACTGAGGAGTGGGGCCACATAATCTCCATGGAAACGAGATATGGCAATGGTTATACAACTGAAAACCAAATATCATTGACCTACCACTAGTGGTTCCCAAAAAAACTGACCTAATCACAAACTAATACATTGTTGACGACGCGGTCGTCGCCTACGCCGGAAATGGCATACTTACATGTATGTCTCGCTCTTTGACTCCGTCAAGGCGAGACAAAAACAGTTAGCAATGTTATTAACTGCGAAACAAATATTTAGTGAGATATAAAGATAATCGCGTCATATCTATATATATTTCAGTTCTTCCTGAGTTACCATATTGACTGATTTAAGAAAACGGCATATGATTTATGTTTAGGCATACAATGTCAAGTACAAAAATGGTCAATGTTAATCGATACAGGCAAACATTTTTGTTTTTCAAACCAATCCTAGATATCAACACTATCAATGCCGATTCAGTATGTTGAATAACATGAAGAAATGTTGACAACACTACCATAAAAGGGGTCTCTAATTTTCTACGAATTTCAGAATATTTTTTTCACTCCTTCCAGAAGCCTTTATTAAAAAAAAGAAAAGGTTATGGTATGCTCATAGGTGATACTTATTTTTCGTATTGCTGTTTCGACAGTAGGAGTTATTCTAATCATTATTTGTTTATTACACAGTTTAAACCATTTTATGGCTGACGATCTTGACAAATAGTTGGCAGGTAAAAAAGCTTAAGGCGAATTTTGTTATGCGCAATTAGATTAAAAACCATACTTTCATGACGAAGACATTTCCTGTTGTAATAAACTACGACCATTGGTGCAACTTGTCCGATTCGTATAGGAAGTTTTAATAATGCGCCGATTCTAATCTATTTTAATATAGAAAATGTATGTAAGACACATTGAATTATGTGTATTTTGAATTATTCTTCGAATTCCGAAATCATTACAAGCTATTACAGTTTGAGGCTTCACTAGTTAATTCGTGTGTCTAACTTGTTAATTAGAAGCATTATACAATAAAGGCCCATTATACGGACAATACTTTTACTATAACCATTACACGTAATTGTTAAATTTCAGGTACATACCGTCATCGTTATCCTCTGCTTTTGTTACAGACCTGTAAAATATAACGCTGTCTTAAATCTATAAAAGTGTCTTAAATAGATAAATATATACAATCATAAACTGTACGAAAGGCAACTTAGAGCAGTAATTGTGGTTACTTTCCAAGTTAACTTAATATATTTGAAGTAGAACAGTAATTTACCTTTATCAGTCGCAAACTAAATCGAAGTATGTTTTATGACTTCTGCAGTCATATTAACATGTCTTTTATCTCCCTTAGCACATAAAACGCAAAATATAGTTCTCGCTCCCTTTGCATATTACAATTGTTTTCAATTCGTTTCGTTGTCTGATATAGTCTGACTTTTGACTTTGTCTGGTTTCCCCTTCTTTGAATTTACCTTGGATATTTTTGTTTATATAAAAAAGAAGATGTGGTATGATTGCCAATGAGACAAAATGACACAGAAATTAACAACTTTAGGTCACCGTATTATTTTTTGTTCCGATAAATAATTAAGGCATTCTTTGTTGTTGTCAATATAGCTTCCGGGAATCGTATATAAATATATACTACGCATACATATTAGGAGTTAATTTTGTTCTGAAAAATATTCTCTGTGTACTAATCAAGGCAACAGTAGTTAAGAAGACAAATCAAGTTTTAAAAAAAAGAGGGAATCGCATGAACACAAAATGTCACTTTTAGCAATAAGACACTGTCGGTTATTACAGGTTAGAGGTCGCCGCTGGTTTTTCAAGATATATGACTGCGTAAACATGTAGCTAGTGATTTCAGTCGTTCCTTTTCAAAAATCATTTGCAGTAGTGTATTGTAAGGATCACATCTATGCCCTGCTTAATTACAAAGCAGTCCTTATCAAAAGCTATGTTTGCAACGAGCAGACCCGGTGCATAGTAATCTTTTGAAAGGGCCTGGTTTAATCGATGCTATCCGTGTCAAGGTTAACTTGTGTGTAGGAATGATATCGACGTAAAGTTTATTATATCAGGACTTCAGTAAGGAATTGTTTAATCGATGATAACCCTGACAGTCCCTAAGCGACTATAACCGAGCATGCTTTTTAGGTTACCTTAAGGACCAGTCGGATCAACACTAAATTATATTAAAAGATAACTTTTAAGTTTACATGATCAAAATATTTAGTCATAATTGAATTAGCTATATAAATTGTGACAGAACCGGTCTGCGATTGCCAAAGAAGGATGCAGTCCTAATCTGTACAAAAGTTAAGTTGGAGCAGTCTGTATGACTTCTTTTCAAGTTATCTTAAGAAATGTTTAACAGGTTAACTTCTTCTACAGATCTATTGACAAATCTGCTCCAGACCAGACTTGTGGACAGGTTTGCTTTTGACCGATCCAGAAAATAGGTCAGCTTCTGCCAAAACATAAGGAACAGATTGTCGTTATTGATTTTTCACCGAAATTCATTTTTATGTTTTGGTTTTACGATAATATTTTCGACAGAATCCTTAAATGAAAGTGTATAGTGACCGGATGCTCAGATGGGTGCATTCCTTTCCTGTACGAAAGTTAACTTGGAGCAGACTTGTTGACCGCTTTACATGTTAACTTAAGAAATGTATAGCAGACAAGCAGAGATGTCTCATTGGCAATCATACCACTTCATCGGAGGTAAAACAGAGCTAGGTATGCTTTTTAGAACCGCTACAGACCTATAGACAAGTTTGCTCTGGACCAGACCTGTGGACAGGTCTACTTTTGATCAGTCCTGAGGATATGTCTTCTCAAGAACAGACCTGTCGACAGGTATGCTTTAGATTGGTCTTGAAAAAGATCAGCTCTTGACCAGACATAAGGACAGATCTGCTTTTGACAGATAGTCGTGTTAAACACTTTTCATATCAGAACGGATCTTTAAGTATATAAACGATAATGTCCGTATTGTCTTTTCCAGTACAGCTGAGCAAAACACTTTACTCTTTTAACACTTTAAATATATGTATACACAATAAAATTTATTTTTTTTATTCTTGTATTAATAAAATAATGTTTATAGAATGTCGCAGTTGTTGATCGACATATTTAAACATGCAGGTATCATAAAAGAAAGGAAAGTTGTTTTTCAAATTTGAAGGCGGATACACAGGTTTTTCAACGCATTTGAAAACTATATTTATATGATGGAACAGTAAAATCATCGTAAATGACTTTGTTTGCCTTGGATTTACGATACGCTTTCTGACAGATTTTTTAACGAGATTTTGACAGTGCCTGGGTGTTAAATAATTTTCCGATTAACTTTTAGACCTTCTCGTGAATTTCGCTGATTCGGCAGAGTCATTATTGAAGTGGCCAAATTAGAAAACCGCTCCGAACTAAAAATCCCAAAAGGGGTAAATATCTACCAGTCTATAACAAATTTGGTTATAATTAAGTGCAAATATGGTCAGTTTTAAATAATGAAGTAACCCTTTTTGTCATACAAATCATCCTGAGGTATAAAAACTACAACCCCGTTTTTGAATAAAATGAGGAAATACCGGCACTCTTAATTGATGCGGACCAAATTCTATAGTCATTGTGTAATTATATTGCTGTCATTTGTATTTTACAATTCATCCTTAGTAACAAATTTATTGATTTAATTTATACTGCCATATAATTTTCATAATAAAGTACACATATTGTCAGTTTTTGATGATCCGGTCAAATATTTGTGTTATACAAACCATCATCAGATATGAAAACTAAAGATTTTTTTGCGACAGTTATATAAACTGCTTATTTTAAAACAGATCAGAATTTAAATATTTTTTCACAAAATACAAATGACTCGAAGAGTCTGTCATTTATAGAACTATACAATGTACTTTAGGTGTTTGACTTATCTGAGTTTAAATTTGTTTAAAGGCAGTTCACGGTGAAATATGTATTCCAATCAAAGTTGAATATGTACTTAAACTGTATTGTTTATATCGCAAACCAGAGACATTTTGAAATATTTTACCAATTGATGTAAAGCGGTCCTGGTTACAAGTTAACTTAATGTTGAGTAGACAATCCAAAAGATAACTGGTCTAGTTCTGGTTCAATCGAGTTTTCAAGGTCGAAGTTTACTTAGTGCAGGACTATTTGCATCGTAAACTTCAGTAGCGGACCTGTCTATAGTTAACTTTTTGTGCAGTAATTTTAACAGTCTTAGGACCGAGTCTGCATTTTATGTTAACTTGCTTTTGGTTCTAGAACCAGTGAATCAGTCCTTTATCCAGTTGCAAGTTAACTTTTTCTAGTCAAAATGACTTTTTATCAAGTTATCTTGCTATTAATTCCTTGAGTACTCTTGAACCTCCTGGTCAATTTTGGTAACACCTTTTGGGATTCTGTGTCGAAAACGATTATCTGATTTGGCTCTAGGGAATACAATTTATGCACAGTCACCTTTACCGATATATGATAACGCAATGAGTTTTTCATTATAAAGTACATATAATATGGTCAGCGCTGGATTATGGGGGCAATTATTTTTGTTTTACAAAACATATTGATATATCAAAACTACTAATTTTAAGTGATGGTTCAGTATTATGAATAAAACAGGAAATGCTTGTACTCGAAAGTTTAAGTTGATGCGAGCAAAACTTTGAAGTCATCAGTATGTACCGAGTTTGCTGTCATGTTTTTAACAATCCATCCATAGCAAATTTACTGATTTATGATACTGCTTTATCAATTACATTGTGAGGGACACATATGTTCAGTTTTGTTTGTTATACAAACCATCCCGAGATGTGAAAAAACTGCTGATTGATATTAATTTTAGAGACGGTTCAGTATTTTGAATAAGAGGAAATGTTGGCACTCAAAATTTATCAGGTCAAAATATTGAGTTATTGTGTTCCAATATTGCTGTCATTTGTGTTATACAATTCCGCCATAAACTTGCATCATAAAGTAAAAACATGTAGTCGGTACATGCCCATTTTGTTATACAAACAAGCTTGAGAAGTCAAAACTTCTGATTTTTAGTGACGGTTCCGTGTTTTGAATAAAAAGATAAAATGCTGGCTCTCTGATTTGAGATATGTATCGATATCTTAAGTACAAACATTGATAGTGTTAATTGAAACAGGCAAACATATGTGTTATACAAACCATCTTTAGAAACATGTTTTATCAAACTACTGATTTTAGTGGCGGTTTATTTTTTTTTTTTTTTTTTCAATAAACAGACGATAATTAAAGCTGATCGTACATTTATATTACTGTACACAAATATTGTTTTCACTGATCATATATATGTTTGACAATCTCCGTTCCCTGGGTTATTGACAGTGTTTATCGATGCCATGTATTTGATAATCTAGTTTTAAGCTTAAAAATGCACACGGACTGCTACAGACTGAACGTATCAGAACGTTCACATTTTATATAAAATATAAATGACTTGAAAATTTGATATTTATTGAAATACACAATGCACGTTTGCTATTACCTTGTAACCAAATAGTTTCCGATTTGTTTAAAAACAGATCACAAAGATATTTTAAACCGTATTGCTTATATCGAGAAACAAAAATATTAGGAATATATTTTTCAATCAATGTTGAGCAGTCCAGGTCACAACTTCACTTAGTGTTGAGCACACCAGCACAAATTTACTTCAGCACAGGTCTGGTTCGATTGGTGTTGTCAATGTCAAAATTAACTTATGCATAACTGGCCTCGAAGTTAGCTTTAGAAGCGGATCTGTTTAAAGTTTACTCTTTCGACAGTAATAAAAAAATCCCAGGACCAGGTCTTCTTTTTGAGTTAACAATCAATTTTGATACCAGGACCGGTCAAAGCAGTCCTTGGACCTGTCAAAGGTTAACTTTGATCAGTCAAATTGACTGGTTTTCAAGTTTAATTGCTGTACAGGTTAGGACTGCACCCATCTCTTCATGGACGTTATACTGCTTATACTGTGGTAAACGGTAATCCAATTCAATTATGGAATACGATTAGTTTACAGTCTTTATTGAAAGGAAAAGGGACACACTATTAGAAAAAAGGTGAAACTTGCACTTTACACAATGAATTTGTTTTACTTATGATTTTAGATAGACCTTTCTGTCTTCCCTCACTTTTAAATTATTAAACTATCCGTAATTGTTTGTAAAGTTTTACATTTAAATTATCGTTCATGTAGAGGTTCCTTAGTACGCTGCGAGTGATCACCTAATTTGCACTATGTATTATTGCCTATTACAAATGTACAATGCTCGATGCTTATACTTTCCTCATGAGTGATTGATTATGATGTATATTGTTGTATACGCCCGCTTTATCAGAACAAATGTATAATATCAATCTAATGTGAAAAACTGTATATGTATATCGCAAATTACGAATTCATTTTTTTTAATGTATGATAGTTGCAAAAAGAGTAACAAAAAAAAACGAACTCTAAGGTTTTTAAAAAAAGTCCATAAAAACTGACAAAATCAACCGTTAAACTCAATCATCTTACGAGTAAGTAATTCTGATATCATTATATCTATACCATTAGAAATTTCCGAAGACCCTTTTTGGTGTTAATGGTTTTAAAAATTGCATATGCTTTACACTCAGAGCCGTTGATTTCGAGCTTAAATTGTGGCAATCTTCCTACAATATGAATCACGGACTTTGAATTCTGTTCAAAGCGTATGGAAAATTTGCAAAACAATCATTTTGGGGAAGAACAATACAAATCACTAAAATTCAGACTGGAACAAGACATTGATTGCTGTCTCTGAAATGTCTAAAAACCACATATTAAGAAAACAATTCGTACTAGCGTTAAAACTGTTAAAGGTTATATCTTATATTTTGTAAAAAAAATGCTTCAAACGCACAATTTTGTTTCTTGATTTAACAGAAACAGATCGATACCACTGTTTGTGGACTTTGTCCACGAGGGTATTGTCAGCTCAGAAGTCAGTGTGTTGATACAAACTTATGATTAATAACAAACCTTTCTTTAATGTTCTGTCGATAAATGATTTCAACTCCCTCAAAGCAAAGTTGGTCTTATATATGAATGTGGCATTTTATGTCCGTTTTGTCAAAACAGTTTCTCAAATGTTTAGGTTTATGCATCTTTGGTTTTCAATTTGGTGAATTTATTCACGAAGAGCGCTTATATAAGATTTCATTTTTAGATTATTATGGATATATTGTTATGAATGTATAAATATTGTTTCTGATTATTGTGAATATCGGCTGAGCAGATTTTATTTGAACGGAGTCGAATCATCTCAATAGTCGTGAATGAATCGCCGTTGATGTGTCTAAAAATTGATTGAAAGACTGACCACGACGAAATTACATAGGTTAAACTATTAAATTATATCGACTTGTGAAATTATTCTACACCAACAATATAAAGGATGTTTATTAGATATTTCTAAATTGTAAAATGTCCGCATTATCAGATGTTTAATAAGCGTAAGAAGACTTTTGTTGTTATTGTTACCTGTTAATCAGTTCTTTATGCTGTCCTGAAATACACATTGAATATAAAGACAAGTCAGAACATCACACATACACACACGCACCCTCACACACACGCGCGCATGTAGATATTAACATCATAAATTGATAAACGAAGAAAATGTTATATTACCAGTGTTTGTTTATTTTGACATTATTTGTTTAACTTTAATTTCATTGTATCATTGATAATTATTAAAGGCTGTGAGTTGCCTCATTGGCAATCATGCAGCATTTTCCTATTTTTATAGTATCAGTAGTATCAACCATTTGTGTTGATTACATACATACAGCATTTTATTTTCCCCCCTCATTTTTCTATTGGCTTTATGAGTAGCTGTATCGATCAATATTTAGTTTTGATCTTTGTTTATTTTCCATTGTTTCATTGATACTTTTTATGCATTTTCATTATCTGTATGATAACGATATTAGATGTTTTTCTCGCAAAGATATATTTCTTTGGATTTTCGACATATAGAAATACTGAGTAATACAGATACGGATTGAAGCATTCGTATTTTTCTGAGCCATTTTGAATTGAGAGTCTTGTTTACCTACAAATGCCTGAGTACTAAAAAATGTTCAATGTCGTTAGTTATTCCGTTGATTTTGCTTTTGTCTTTATCAATTCAAATGGCGTGTTGTTCAACATCACGCAATTTTGCGTTAAAAAAAATCTTGTCAATGAACAAAATAAAATCAATTGACAAACACAGTAGTATATAAAAAAAGAACTGATATAGAGCAGTGTTTGCAAAGTCCGGATCCAGGAAGTTTATGATCACTGTCATACGCGAGTATAAATATCGTAGTAAAAAGGATGATGGTAAAACACTGCATTTGTTTATGTTTTGAAAATTCAAAATAATTGATGTGATGCATGTTTTAACACAATTTCATTAGAATATTACTTTTCAGTGTAAAATAACATGATTAAAGTCCAATTGTCTTTAATGAAAGCACCATAATCTAGCATATCGATTATCTAGAGCGATTTAGTTAAACTACAAATGAAGTCTATTATCACTGTTAGTGTGATTATTTCTGATGGGTGCGATGAAATTTTATTGTGAATTATGTGTCTTACAATATCTGACATTTTTATACTTCATGTCAAAATGCCAGATTTTGATTGGTTAATACCATGGAGATAATTTACTCTATTACCCTTCACGAAGACGCTTGATCTATTGTGCGCTCTGATTAACAAAACCTGTTATGTGTTATGCAACATCAATGATTATGTCAAAAAGATTTTTTTTCTAAAAATTTAACTTTACTGCTTCTTTTTAATTATGTACAGGTTATTGCTGACAAATTCTTAATATATACCAAACTGTGTATCGATTCCACACCTGTATGGCTTTAGTCCGTTTTTCTTTGGTTTTATTATGATTTTATAAAAACAATACATTTTATATCATTTCTTATCTTATAAAAAATTCATAAATATTCCGGTTTTTTATTCGTCATTTTTCATAGAAATATAACACAGATACAGTAAAATTGGCATTGCAGGATCCGCACTTTTTATACACTGTAGAAAAGAAATATTCTTTATCACAAATTATACAATAACACATGATTCAAAGTGAGACAACTAACAATAAATGTTTGTATATGTATGTTCTTTTAACATAAAAATTGCTCTTAGTAGACATTTGCGGAAACTCATATTTATACATCAATGATTAAGATTACAATTACACTTTCATGTTGCATTTAAATCTTCGGTCGTCTCAAAACGCCGTTCTATAACAAAGTTCCATGATGTGTTTCAATAGTTGAACAACTGGGTTTTTAAGCAATTTATGTATTGATTTGTACCCATTAAATATTGTACATGGTGTTATCCAGGTTGAACTTGCTGTAAATGTACGAGTTTGATAAAATTGACAGACATCTATCGTTTAATTAATGTTACATGAGACGTGCAAAAACATTTTCGCTTTTTTTTGTAAATTTTTTTTTTTTTTTTGCAGTGGCTAGAATGGGACAATTCGAATTTAATTTCAGTAGGACTAAATAAAGGCAACATTAGTATACCGCTGTTCAATAGTCATAAATCGATTAAGCGAAAACAATTCCCCGGGTCACAAACCAACACCGAGGGAGACTCATCAACTATAAGAGAATAACAACGGAACAACACAAACACTGAACTGCTACAAAAACAAACGCCAACATACATAGAAATTGACTATTAGATAACAACTGCCATATTCCTGACTTGGTACAGGACATTTTAAGAAAAAAATGTTGTGTTGAAACTGGTTTTATGGCTAGCAAAACGTCCCGCTTATATGCCAATGTTAAAAATACCGCTAAAATGACAACATTACGTGACATGAATACAGTAAAAATAAACACAAGAACACGCAGGACTAATATAATAGTACATTTCAACATGTAAACTACAGAATATCAACGGTCAGCTCCCCTGAATTTACGACAGTACACCAGTACACCACAATAGAATTATGAAATATGCGTCACACGAATGTATCAATGCCCCAAAAAGTGACGTATTTTTTGTGACGTTTATTTTATCACAAGTAAATTTCTAGAAATAGAATATGAAATTGTGATTGAGTTTGTAATGATGTTATTTTATGTATTTTCTAACCATGACAAGGATATTAATTAGAATTGTGTTTGTAATGGTGTAATTGCTTGGGTTTTCATACCATGTCGGGTTTTCTTCTAAATGAAAACTATGTTAATAGAAATTAATCCTGTGCATATAGTTACTTTAAACCAAAAATCATATAAATGAAGTAGAAGATTAATTATCTTAACTTTTACATAAATGTAGATAATGAAAATAGAATTCAGACCACAAACGATAATACTAAACACAATATCCATTCAGACTTACAAAAGAAACATCATAACTAAATACATGAATGTTGGATGTATAAATACCGAGATACGTCGTAAAGCAATGCGAGTTCACACTCGGCAAAACAGTCATACTCGGGAATAGGTCACGGTCGGTACTTAGCAGACCAGACGACGTAGATGGTAAACAACAATCTAATACGTGTTAAAAATGTTAGTTAGATTAGACACAGACACATCGTAAAGATTAAACAATTCGTGATGGTGTCCGTAAAATTTACGGAGAGTCATTTTTAATCTTTCCTCCTCATAACTCTTTAGGAGTGGTGTCCTCGGACCACACTCCTTTGTATGAAGTCCGTATAGTGTGAACATGTACGTGCATAACGTACATGTATCAATTGAGATATGTAAACACCATACGATGGGGCAGAGGGTATGTTACTGCTGAGAAATGGGAAATTGGTAATTTGGAAGTTAAAATAGTCACGTTTGTCATAGATTTTAGTGTGAAGTCGTCCATCTGTGTCAATATTGAGGAAAAGATTAAGGTATGAAGCAGTCCTTCTAGTATTAGTGGTATCCTCAATTTCAAGTTCACTGGGTTATATTAGATGTAAGTACTGACTGAAATATGGGTTATTGAGTGATAGGATATCAATATATCTGAAAGTAAAATTAAAGGATTTCGCAAGTTGCTCTTTTTTTGTCAATTAGAAGGTACTGAATGAATTCTGTTTCAAACGAGTACAAAAACAAATCGGCAAGTAGGGGTGCACAATTTGTACCCATTGTAATACCGACTGTCTGTTGAAATATAAATCCACCAAACTCAACAAATATATTGTCGATCAAAAAGTCCAGCATTTTGATAATATCATCTTTAGTGTATTTTCTGATAAAATCAGTGTGGTTCTTTACAAAATAAGAAAGTAGATTTTTCAATTGAGTATGGGGAATAATAGAATAAAGCGTAGAAAAATTAAAAAAAATTAATGTTGCTGCAAAATTGCAAAGATTGTGATCAAAGACTTAGCAGTAGATCTTTAGAATTTTTAAGAATCCACATCTGATTGACACCACTGGTTGAATGTATCTCATCACAACATTTAAAAGTCATCTTTTACTGTAGAAAGAATAGAAGTCAGCACTTTAGAAAGATGCTTAGTCTTGATGATCCTGCTATGTATCGTTCTTTATGAGGAGTTTTGTGAAGTTTTGGAATCAAGAAACAGGCGATCAACTAAGAGGCATGTTTCAAATATATAATGTTTATGTTAAGACATTGTTTTCCATTTTGAAAAAAAAATCAAAACCGTTATCAATGAACATCTTTATGTGGAAAAAGTTAAATCACAAAAATACTGAACTCCGCGGAAAATTCAAAACGGAAAGTTCCTAATCAAATGGCAAAATCAAAAGCACAAACCATTCAAACGAATGGACAACAACTGTCATAATCTTGAATATAAAATTCAAGCTATTCGTCAGACTATGTTGAAATAAAGAATTTGTGTACTCAAATAGGTGGAATTTTACTACTACAAATGACAACCGGGTTCTAAGTTGTTCGTTTTTGTACAATTGTTTTAGAGATCTTGGTAAGCATTTGAGTGACGTTTTTCTTTCAAAATGATCATGGGTAGGTCTGGTTATCTCAAAGCAAGAGCATAAAATTACTCCTGATCCTGGGACCGGTACTTTTTTTTTAATGGTGGGTTTGATAATTATATTGTGTAATTGTATGATCATTCCTGTCATTTCCCAGTGTTTTATTTGTAGTGTATCTTCTGAACGATTTGTTTTTTTACTGATTTTGCTAAACTTAAAACCTTACCATAAAAAGAATCACTCTATTTTCAGGTTATAACATATGGACGATATCAAAGACAATGATTCATTAGTGTGTCCTAGAAAAGACTTATCTATATAATTTTTTTTTAAAAATGTTTTACTATGTATTTCTTTGACTGTTTTTTATATATTTTGAGATGACCCATTGTTTTTCGTCAACTGTTATCATAAGTCTAAGTGTAATCCTAAGTATAGACCTAGTTTCTGCAAATGTCTAATAACGAGTACTTATAGTTTTATTTTTAAAGAGCGGTAGCTGTCTAAATGCACCAATGTTTACATTTAAACATCTCACATTTGTGACGTAAGTGTAATATAATATAAGAACTTAATATTTAAAGTATTTGCATACTTTAAATGTTACACAATACCGATTTAATCAAACTTACCTAGCTTGTCATTATTTTGTTTTCTGCGAAGGAAAAAAATAACGACAGCAATAGTAATAAGGACAATTATTGCTCCTCCAATACCAGTTCCTGCACCAATAGCTAAACTATTTTTATTTCCTTGGTCGTTTCCTACTGCAAAAAAAACCCCAACATTTACGTGTAAAACAAATTTACAGCATAAACCAATGACAATCCTTACGATAAATTAGCTGATTGATAAACATTGAAACAACTATTTACCAGTTGGTTAAGGTAAATGAGGGTTGAAAGATGCCAGAGGGACATTCAAACTCATAAGTCTAAAATAAACTGACACCGCCATAGCTAAAAAAGAAAAAGACAAACAGACAAACAATAGTACACAAAACACAACATAGAAAACTAAAGACTGAGCAACACAAACCTCACCAAAAACTGGGGGTGATCTCAGGTGCTCCGGAAGGGTAAGCAGATCCTGCTCCACATGTGGCATCCGTCGTGTAATAATCCAGTTACAACCCATTAGTTATCGTTGGCCGCTGTCTGTTATGTTTGTTATATTTGTGTATAATGTATTGTTTTAGTACAAATAAGGCTTTTGATTATCCGTTTGAATTCTTTGACATCTTGTTATACCGGAGCCTTTGATGACGCACTAATGGCTTTGTCATGGTTGCAGGCCGCACATAGACCTGTATTTGTTCATATCTTTGTCACTAAGTCTATTGATAATTGGCTTATTTCAATTATGCAGCGCCTTCCTTTATCAATTCATACAATAATTCCATAATTAAAATATTTCACAAGAATGTTTGCTTTCAAATTTAACTTTGTCGTGTTTGGTCGCTTTAAATTTCTACAGTGTGTGTTGAGTATTGCTATTGTATTTCTATAACAAATTAACATTTTGAGATCTTACTGGCCATAAATAGAAAATACGTCATTTGAATTGTGCCTGTAAAGACAAAACCTATGTCATGTCCATTAAATATCAATCTTTTGATGAAAGGTGAATTTCTGTTGAAGTAAAATGATGTGTTGTTATATCAATATTACTGGAGGGTTTACATACCTACTGCACTCTACTTGAGTAAGGTGACACAAGACCAATGAGGTGGTGGTTCTATTTCATGGAGATATATTTTTGGATATAAATCTATCGGAAAGATGACAATTTTAGGTCAAACATGTACATTCGACATGTAACAAATAAAATTGCTCCTGTGGTTCTATGAGGTCTACAATCAATGGCTGCCAACGCATCGCGACTAGGGAAAACTATATTTGGTGAATAAATTTTCCATTAAAAATCGATATAAGTGATTTTATAAGTGTACACCAATTATGATATGAGATGTACAAAAAAAGTAATAAAGTAGATAATTACGAAGTCCCTTTGGTATCCCTCACTTCTCTTTCACAGAAAAACTTACAGTTGACCTTTAATTTGGAAACGTTTGTGTAGTCTTGGCTCATTTTTCCTGAGCATTTGCAGTATTGGTTTTGTTATTTTCACAAAGTTTTCATCCCGTAATTTCAGCAGAAATCAGCGGAGCAGAAACAAACGTGAAATCAATCTGTAACTCATCATAGTAGACTCACAAACTTAAATTTAGCTCAATATGTGAAGGAGTTTAGCAAAAGGTTGGTATAACTGTTTTCACGACATTTTCAAATGTTCATAGCCCGTAATGTTGGCAAAAATCAACAGAGCGGCACGTAACGTAAACTCGATCTGTACCTCATCATAGAAGACTCAGATCCAAAAACATTGCTCAATATGTGAAGGCGTTTAGAAAAAAAATAATATATCTGTTCGTTGCAAAATGATGAAATGACAGAACGATGGATTGACGGAATTATGGATAAGGATAACACTATATGGCCCCGACCAAAGCTGGAAGGGCCATGAAAAGTAAAAATACATCTTTTCCATAGACACTACGTACATTTCTGACAGTTCTGGCAGTTACTGACAACTAGTTTAAAGCCAATAACAACTAATAAAAAAAAACATGAATTTAATACTTAGACATCAATCAGTACATATCTGACATTGAGTTATTGCTTGTTAACTACTTGTGTATTATGTTTTAATCGGTGTTACTGTTATAGTACATACATTATGGTAATAGAAATCGCCAAATTACAGCACAATACATTCTACCACATAAAATAAACTCCGCTAAGTCCCACACAACAAACAACACATGGGCGAGATGGTATGATGTGTTACAATATAACGGGATTAATCGCGGTCGATATTGTTTTATTATGGAAACAATCCGCGAGCTCCAGTATGATAAGGCAAAACATAACGAAGATATACATTATTATCAAAGACACTGGATTACAGTGTGGATCCAACATGTATTTGTTTAAACTGCAGTTTTAAACGTTTCACAATGTTTGCAACTGAGTTATTACAATAAGTAATTGTCTTGTGTGTTAGGTGTGATCGATACAAATCGGTGTTTCCCTTTTCTTACGATATTTATTAACAAAACTTTTCAAAATATGAAATCCAAATGTACTTTTAATAAATATTTATATGATACCTATCAAAAAGTGGTGAGTATTTGCATATGTTTCGGAGAGTATAGTGTTGTATATTCATTTCAGTAGTTATAACACACCCATACAGTTAAATATATAATGAAGGAGTATCTGTGCACCTTGAGATGGTCCCAACTATAGCCTGTTCAAGTATTCGTATTTTTCATCAGTGTTTAACCTTTTTAACACGTTTATTAGTAGGTCTCCTTTTACAAACAGTATTGCATATTGTCATTTATATGTGCCTTTAAGTTAAAGATTTCGCGTACATGATAAATATTTGTTCTGTTGTTAAGAGTTATGTTGTTATTGGTTTGTTTCATTTTAAATGACGCTGTAAGAATTAATTTCAAAATTAAAAAAAAAACAAAAAAACAAAGCTATTCGTTTAATTATCATGTATACCAAAGTCTCAAAGATTAATATGCTGTATCTCAAATATTCTGTCATTCATCAATAATCCAAAACGTCAGACCAATATTCAAACCAAATATTATCAATTTAGAATGTAAAACCTGTAGTAGGAAAATACATAATGATCAATTGTATTTAACAATTTGATAAAACAAAATGTCATTATTTTCTGGGGGGGGGGGGGGGGGGGGGGGTCTTAATTAAAATCCATAGATTTGTTTTTTAAATTTGTCAAAATGCAGTTTTTATCATGCTTTTTTTCCAAAATATCATAAAAAGTATGGGTCAACGGACTTATTATTTTACGCTACAGGTTGTGCAAAATTGTCAGATTTTGTATAGATTATGCATGGAAAATCCAAATTTGGGTGATAAAAAGAAAACTACACCATAGAGTTTTAAGGTAAAATGTGAGAAGATAGCTCTTATAACATGCTTTTAGATAAGAAAAAAAATGGGGTCGCCGGACTTGTTTTCTTGCTACATATTAAAAGAGGTAAATTCACAACTATTTCTATTATACAAATTAATCTATCTGAGCTATCTCCCCTACAATATGAGTTATCTACCCTTATGTGGCAAAGTTGAAAAAAATGAATCAAACGAAAATATTGTATTTTATAGAAAATACAGCCGTAAATATGATACAACACATACTTTTCTATATTAAAATGAAAAGTCTAACACATGAATTACATACTACTCTCAAAATTTGCACATTTCATTAAAGATCTAGACCAATTGTTATCTGCTACTTCAAAATTCAAGATGGAGGAAGACACCCCCAGCCACCTTAAATTACAGCCATTAGAGTTTTGATATATAGATCATAACCAATCACATTGTTGACATTGTACTATCTGTGTTTGCGTCTTTTTATTTCGGCTGTTTTGATAATGGAAGAGATGTTGTTCGAACTACTATAAATTTTAATATGTCGTGTTAACTTATTGTCCATTTTAAATGTTCCCTTTTTAAAAATAATCTTACATAATATTGACTGCACAAATGGACATTTCAAATCGCTTTCCGGAATTAAACTTTACAGTTAAGAAATGCTACGCAATTTATAAATGTACCTTCATAAAGAGGGTTTGTTAATATGTGTTATAACACGGGGTCACCAACTAATAAGTAATGAATTCATTTATTTGATATGTACTTTACTAATATTTTGATTGACTTGTATACATATTAAAATACTATACCTGCAGTTGTTGTGTTACAAGTTGCAGGTCCTGACATGGAATAATTATGTTTATTTAATGCACGCACTTTAAAATGATAAGTTGTATCTGATGTTAGCTGGTTAATTGTTGCTTCTGAATATCCATATTGGCCTGGATCGCTATAGTTCCGACCATAATGAATGATTTTTGCATCTCCATCTTTTTGTACGAAAATCTGAAATATCTGGCTATCGCCTCCATTGAAACTCGATTTCCAATAGACCAAAACAGAATCAGGTCTTCCTATACAGGTGACATTTTTTGGTGGGTTAGGTTTTCCTTAAAAAACAAAATGAGAACAGCTTTAATTATACGTAACACAAATTTAGTTGTTCTCATGTTTCACAACATGCTGGGGTCAGCTTGGACTCAACTTAAGAGTGGTCGAAAGGTAATATAATGTTATAGTTATATATTTTAATGACTATGTTTTTTCAACTACAAGTACTACGAATAATAGATATATTACAAAGTGCATATCTTATTTGAATCCTACTGTGACACAAAAATGCATAACACACCATTTAATAATTTATGAATTGAACGTGAAACGTGTCAAGTAGGGTCACACTTTTGAATAAAAAAATTACATTGTACTACCATTTTTCAGTGATTTGCGTTAGCATACTTTCTAAAAGGAAATTAACTTCGAAAAATAATCGGATGACAGAGATAATTTATATATAAATAAGATGTGGTATGAGTGCCAATGAGACAACTCTCCATCCAAGTCACAATGTATAAAAAGTTAAAAATTATAGGTCAAAGTACGGCCTTCAACACGGAGCCTTGTCTCACACCACACCGAACAACAAGCTATAAAGGGCCCCAAAATGACTAGTGTAAAACAATTCAAACAGGAAAACCAACGGTCTAATATATACAAAAAATAAAATGCTCCGCAGGGCGCAGCTTGATACGACCGCAGAGGTCGAACCCTGAACAGTTGGGGCAAGTATGGACACAACATTCAAGCTTGATACAGCTTTGCATTTGGATTGTGATTAAATATTTGACACAGCATAGTTTCCGACACAGAATGAATGTGGTCTTTTAACTTAAAAATTTTAAATTGGACATTCACCTATTATGGTCCAATATCCAAAATCTAAATACATGGTTAGATTCAGCATATCAAAGAACCCCAATAATTCAATTTTTGATAAAATCAAACAAAGTTTAATTTTGGACCCCGATTTGGACCAACTTGAAAACTGGGCCCATAATCAAACATCTAAATACATGTTTAGATTCAGCATATCAAAGAACCCTAAGAATTCAATTTTTGTTAAAATCAAACTAAGTTTAATTTTGGACCCTTTGGACCTTATTGTAGACCAATTTGAAAACGGAACCAAAAATTAAGAATCTAAATACAGGGTTAGATTCGGCATATCAAAGAACCCCAATAATTCAATTTTTGATGAAATCAAACAAAGTTTAATTTTGGACCCTTTGGACCTCAATGTGGACTAATTTAAAAACGGGGCCCAAAATCCAAAAACTAAATACACGGTTAGATTCAGCATATTAAAGAACCCCAAGAATTCAAGAATGAAACCCCATTGAAATTGGTCAAGAAATAAGCAATTTATACAAAGTATCTTCTTTTGCACAATACTGTGCAATTAAATATTTCTTGCTATTGCGCAATACTGTACAATTGACAATTTCTTGCTATTGCGCAATATTGTGCTATTGGATATTTCTTGCTATTGCGCAATACTGTGCAATTGAAGATTTCTTGCTATTGCGCAATACTGTGCAATTGAAGATTTCTTGCTATTGTGCAATACTGTGCAATTGAAAATGTCTTGCTATTGCACAATACTTATTATGTAATAATTTACACATCCTGTTTGGTGTGTATCTCCTACCATATCATTATTATTTGTTTTTAAATATAAATCAGAAATAACCAACTTAAAATGGAAAATTTTAAAAGAAAAAAAAAAGGAAAAAAAGAAAAAAAAGGGAAAAAAAAATCACCCCCCTAAATTTTTTGAACCCCCTTATGATTCATCACCCCCAAACTCAATCCCAGCCTTCCCTTTGTGGTATGGTACCTTGCAGTACAATTTCAGAGAGATCCATACACTTGAACACAAGTTATTGTCTGGAAACTAGAAAAAATGTGTTTTTTGGCCCCTTTTTGGCCCCAAATTCCTAAACGTTTAGGGCATTTACTCCCAAACTCAAACCCAGCTTTCCCTTTGTGATATGGAACCTTATAGTACAATTTCAGAAAGATCCATACACTTACACACAAGTTATTGTCCTGAAACTAGAAAAATGCTTGTTTTTTGCCCCTTTTTGGCCCCTTATTCCTAAAATATTGAGGCAATTACCCCCATCATCAATCCCAGCCTTCCCTTTGTGGTATGGTACTTTGCAGTACAATTTCAGAGAGATCCATATACTTGAACACAAGTTATTGTCTGGAAACAAGAAAAATGCTTATGTTTGGCCCCTTTTTGGCCCCCAATTCCTAAACGTTTCGGCAATTACCCCCAAACTCAATTCAAGCTTTCTCTTTGTGATATGGAACCTTGTAGTACAATTTCAGAAAGATCCATACACTTACACCAAGTTATTGTCATGAAACTAGAAAAATGCTTGTTTTTTGCCCCTCTTTTGGCCCCTAATTCCTAAAATTTTGAGGCAATTACCCCCAAAATCAATCCCAGCATTCCTTTTGTGATATGGAACCTTGTGGTACAATGTCAGAGAGATCCATACACTAACACACAAGTTATGTCTGGAAGTTACAAAAATGCTTATGTTTGGCCCCTTTTTGGCCCCTAATTCCTTTACTGTTGGTACCATAACCCCCAAAATCAATCCCAACCTTCCTTTTGTGGTATTGAACCTTGTGGTAAAATTTCATAGAGATCCATTCACTTAAACTAAAGTTAGAGTGCGAAAACCAATGTGTCTTCGGACGACGCCAGACGACGACGACGACGACGACGACTCCAACGTCATACCAATATACGACCACAAAAATTTTTTTGCGGTCGTATAAAAACGAGAAACGAGAATCACTTATAAACCACATCAACAAACGACAGGCACTGAGCAATAGGCTCCTGACTTAGGATAGGTGCATAAAAATGCAGCGGGTTTAAACGTTTAATTAGGCGCCAATCTTCACCCTAACATGATACAGTATTGTAACATTACACCATGAAAAGACACACTGTAAAATATCAATTGAAATGGCTTAACTCGACCAAAAAGACATTGAAACAAAAATCAAATAAACATACACTGAAAAAAATAAGTGTGATCTATCACACAGTATAAATACAATATTCAAACGTAAGTGCCTACATCACATTGAAGTTACAGGTAGTAATAAAAAAAATACGAACGAACAGTTTCTAAAAGACAACTCTAACCTGGGACAAAATGACGTTAAATGAAACAACGTACACAGGTAAATGCAAATATAATAATTTTGTTCTTAGGAGTAAGGAAGTAAACATTTTTACAAACTTAATAAATTGTTTACAGTACGAGTACAGAGGTAAACATTTATCGTCATACTTAATACTTTTCAAAGGTGGTAAATCTTAACATATTTCACGTACAACAAAAACTACATACTAAAATGTCAAATAACAAAAGTACCGAACTCCAACGAAAATTCATCACGGAAAGTCTCTTAACAAAAGGCAAAATCAAAACTTTAAACACATCAAACGAAAGGAAAACAACTGTCATATTCCGAACTTGGTACAGGCATTTCCTTATGTAGAAAGTGGTACATTAAACCTGGTTTTATAGCTAGCTAAACCTCTCAATCGTTGATAGTCGCATAAAATTCCATTATACTGACAATAATGTGTGAACAAAACCAATGTACATAATATGAAAAATATAAATCTTATTTGACCTTCTCTCACAAGTAAGTGAAAATCATATTTCAAAACTTGTTGGGCAAACGGGTTAGGCGAAATAACATTCAATAATAAAAAAAACATCTAAACAATGATACATTTGGTGAATTAGTTTTCATTTCTTTCATATGAAGATCAGTGTCAAATACATGTTCAACGGGCTTTAAACCATTTATAAATAATGCAACAATTTAAAAGTGCTAAATGAACTCATCATAGATACCAGGATGGAAATTTTGTATTTGCGCCAGACACGCGTTTCGTCTTCAAGTCAAAAGACTCATCAGTGACGCTCGAATAAAAAAGTTAAAAAGGCCGAATAAAGTATGAAGTTGAAGAGCATTGAGGATCAAACATTCCTAAAAGTTTTGCTAAATACAGCTAAGGTAATCTTTTCCTGAGGAAGAAAAGCCTTAGTATTTCAAAAATTCAAAGTTTTGTAAACAGTTAATTTATAATTATGACCATATCAATGATAATTCATGTCAACACAGAAGTACTGACTAGTTAGCTGGTGATACCCTCGGGGAATAAAAACTCCACCAGCAGTGGCATCGACCCAGTGGTTGTAAATAAACTCATCATAGATACCAGGATTAGCATGATACCTCACCTAATACTCGAAACTAAGCTTAAGGTAACCCTTATATGTATATTGCTAAAACTATGAATTAAACTATAGGTTAACAATGTGTTGTGTTTTATGTTTAGAAATAGATCGTGGTCCAATCATATGTTTACCGATTTTATCATGTTGGTGACTTCAAAGTGACTGTTTCACAAAGTTTCAAGTCAACAATGTCAGGATTGTGTCACCTATTCGTCACCTATTCCCCTTATTGATAAAAGAGTCATAATTTCGAAAGGACTTTATTTCAATGTGGGAATTTAAGTAGCGAGAAAAACAACTGTTTATTCAAGTTTTCCGTGTTAACCATGTTTACCATATTTACATGAACACACGTTATAACTAACTACCTTTGAGTATAACTCCACATATACACGAGTAGTGATTTTGTCATCGTTTGGTTAAGATGGAAATGATTGTGCTAAGTGTTTTTAATGATAAACAGTGACACAATATAAACATTCGGATGTTTTTCTAAAAGAACTTCTGAACATAAACTCAAGCTGGTAAGTATCTTTGTTTATAGCTAATATGTTAGTACATTAAAATTTGTATCATATAGTTAATAATTTAAATTGAAATAATGCTTGCGTATGACCAAATTTAAAAGTCGCTTATCCGTTTCTCAAAAAGTTGTTTGTTTACTGTCTGTTACATCACATATTTAGTTATAAAATAAATTTGCCGTCAATTTTTGCGAACAATAACCACATTTGCAAACAAATTAAGATAACTGAAAATTCGGTGTC